CCCCAAAACCCCAAAACCCCAAAACCCCTCAATTCCAATTTGTCAGATAGATATTAGTGTAATTGAAATTATGAAATCAAAAATAAGTCAAAAAAGTTTTTATATTAGTCAATTACGCTTTTGTCTTGAAAGCAATTAGTATCAAGGACTTTTAAGAAAATCAGTTAGAGTTGACTGAATCTTGTTCATAATCAGTTTAGGTATAATCCTATTTTCGATTACCTAATGAAGGCAACTAAGGATCCTATTAATTAGGGGATGGCTATTCAATAACCATAAATTGCTGCACATTCATCATTGAAGGTGCTTATAAGTTTAGATCTCTATTTGCATTTTCCATTATTTTAGATGATTCTTCTTCATTATCTTTGTCTTAGGATGATTTCCCTGAAAGTTCGTTTCCTGATGGATTATTAGAGTTAGCACTAATAGAATTATCATTAGACGAATGCTCTTAATCTGATGCCTATCTAATAAAAAATTTGCTGGCCGGTCTCAAGAGCTTTGCTTATGGGCTGGTATCTAAAATGGCTAAATATTAAAGAAAAATACCTAGAATGTTAAATTCACCACTTCTACTGTTTGAGGAAAAGTCTCTTTTCAATTCTCTTTTGCTGTTTGACATGAAAGATCTCTCAGTAAAATTGCTTTGATAGGTTTCACAAGGCCTATATAAATCGTTATAAATTTAAATAACATTACTCATTGTGATAAAGTTTAAATCCTGTATGTTGCCCCCTTTCTAATTGCATCTGAGTAAAGTTTTCTGGATTGTGAAAAAGCCCTGGAGAATCAATTGGTATGGTACCATAAGACTAATCTAGCTAATACGTATTTGTATAGCTTGAGCCTCTGTAATAATTTCCCCCTCCATAGTTATCAATAGAATTCATGGAATTTCTAATGTTAGTCGCTTCCTCTAGCTATTCTATCATTACAAACTTATTTTATTCCTTATTTAGTCTTAATCTTATTTATTTCTTCTTTTTCCATTTTTTGTATTCAACATCCTCTTGAGCTTTCTACTTAGCGATTTCTTTTTAGTGCTTATTATCCTTAAACTATTATCTAAGCTGTCTTAGTGTAATGGTCACAATCAATATCCAGTTTGATAAAATATAGAATCCTACAATTATTATTAATAGCCATCCATATGAATTAGCCTTATCCTCTGGCAAATCTTCATCTAAAAAGACGATTGAAAATAAATGCAAAAACAAAATTAATCCTTCGCCAAGAGCAGTCATAACAATCATCACTTTGTCTTTTTACGGTCTAATTATAACTACATATATTATCATTACTCCTGAAGTTACACTCATAAATATGATTTAGTTGAAAGGACTATTTGCGAATAACACCAGGGATATAGCAAATAAAGCTCTTCTGAGTAGAAACACTGGGTAATACATATATCTGATTGGGTGACTGAGATCCACCTCTTTAACTACGGTAGAATAGCAGAGCATAAACTTTTCAGTTTTAATTTTTTCATAGTTTCTTTGAAGTATATTCATAAGCAAGATAGGCAGGTAAGTTAAAATAATTCCAAAAGCAATTGCAGCAAAAGCAGAAATAGTATTTTCCATAGTTGTTAGATTCATCTAGAATATTCCCAAAATGAATGCAAGATACATAGATACATATGACATAATAACACCTCTCAAAAGCAAAGTATATCTAAATTTCTATTCAACCTTTTTCCATAATCTACATATTTTATGTTTATCTGCATATCTTCTCTTCATATACCATACTAATGGATATGCAAAAATGATTAGTGTCCATATCAATATTTTTCTTCCTGAGAGATATAAGAAATTACTGATTGGCCATCCATAAACTAAAAATCTTGTATTGAGTGGAGGCTCAATTTAAATCTAAGAATTTGACCGGCCAACCAGCTTATCATAGAATAAATTTGGAATAATTGTGGATTCCCCATGAGAACCCAACATTTTTTGGAAAACTAAGACAGAAATTGCTGGATAATTTATGTTACAAAGAGGAAGCAAGCTTATCAGTTAAATAGTATTGACCATAGTCCACATTGCTGAGATTGATCCACCAAAAACTAATGAAATAGCAAGATTAATAGCAACAGCTCCAAATGTGGCTAGCATAGAGGTATCACCTGCTGATTCTAATTTAGCCTTTGTCTCAGGATCGATGTAATCATATTTATTTAAATATGCTTTAATTGAATAGGTTACCATTCCATTCCCTGTAGCATCTTAATAGGTATTTGTATTTTGAAATTCGATCTGAACTTATTCTTTTTGATCACCTTTTAGTGATTGATAAAACATAAGTTGAATTCCTATTATTTATACTGGTTCACTTGTCTTATATTAGTCTTATAACTACCAGTCAAACTTATATGGTCCCTATTATCCATTAATAGTTATCAGTAAATTATTAGTATTAAGTTCCTCTTTTAGAGATACTTCTTCATCGAACTAGATTATCAATAGGTTTGAAACAGTTACAAAGCTTATTGTAGGGGTAGGATTTCTGTTATCCATACATATACTAGGAGAAGTTTTAGTACCAGCTGTACAATTAAAGCCTTCTTCAATAAAGCAAGTTGAGGAACAGCCATCACCATTAATCATATTGCCATCATCACATTTATAATAACCGTAGTTAAAACCATCACCACAAATTTCAACACAACCATTGATACTATCATCGACTGGTTCAGTCATACCAGGTTATTCATAGCAAGTTAAACATTATTATGCAACCAATAAGTTTTTTGGTCTGCAAGATATGCAATCAAACTAACTTTTGCCTTGACATGTTAAACAAGATTAGTCACATTCATAGCATGCTATTTAAGGCTTTATAACTCTATACTAAGTATCTAAACAGGTAAAAAAGGTGCATTCTCCATTGTTTAATTAATATGGTCCATCGATACAGGAAGTACAAAATGCTTCAGATAAGCAAGTTAAGCATCTAGGGTTACATTTTATACAAGTTTTAAGGATATTGTCTTAAAAGTATCCTAGTGGACAGCTCACAAGACATGAAGTACCAAACTTAAAGTAACCAATAGTAGTTAATATATTTTCATTGCATGAATAACATTGATCATCGCCAGTGCCATAGCAAGTTGAACATTTAGAATCGCAAGACACACACTAACCATTTACAATATATTCACTATTTGCGCATTATTCAACACAGAATGCACCTCTTCTGAGATAACCCTCTGCACAAATAGTACATGTATCAGGACCATAACCACTGCAAGCTTTACATGAATAATGGCAGATTAAGCAGGAATTTGTCACATCATCCCCATAGTATCCTGCAGGGCAATTATCTTAACAAGTTGAGCTTTGCCATTGAAGGAAATATCCAAGAGAGCATTGACTGCATGTAGAGGTGAATTTATTTGTGCATTTATCACAAGCTACATTACAGACTTAACATATTCTGTTAGAATCTGGATAGTATCCATCGTCACATTTGGCTTGACATATTCCATTTTATTAGTAATCACTAGGGGATTTGCAAGTTAGACAATTAGAGAATGAGGGTCCATTGCATGTTTTGCACTAAATGTTACAAACTGAGCAGGCTGAGTTAGCAAAATCAGGATATTTTCCGTCAGGACAACTATCTATACAGCTAGTGCCTTGCAGTAAATAACCAAAAAGACATTTTGAACATTACGTACTGAGTCCACCAAAGCATTGAGTGCAAAACGGATGGCATTTTAAGCAGATTTACTGTAGATTACCTCCTAAATACTCAACTTACATGTAAAAGCCATTTATTGATCCTTAAACAACTAAAGGATCACTGCATGAATTTACACATGTAGTGTTAGGATAAAATATTTTAGAGGGAGCACAACTCATGCATTAACTTTAAGTAGGGCCAAAGCATGTTCTACAATTAGAATCACATTGCTCGCATGTATCATAAGTTATATTGTAGTAATATCCTGATATGCAACTGCAGTTTCCAAATGTTTCTGAATAAGTAATCATAGAAGGTGTCACATTTCTAGGGCATATTGTGCAATCAGATTTCAAAGGTCCTTTGCAATTTCCGCAAAATGGATGGCATTTATCGCAATTATCCCCATATTAAGACTCATTACAGATACTAATGCATTTTTTGATACTTCCTGGACAAAATAGACAAGGAGGCTAGTTGCCTATATTCGAGCATTATGATGAATCAGCAATATCGTATTTTGTTTCATTTTCTATTTTTGAATAACCATAAATGCGGAGGTATTTATAAGCTACTGATCTTTCATATGAAAATTTCATTTTTGATTCTCTTTGGAAACTTAAATATGGATTGTTGTCTCTATCGATTAACTTAGTAACATTTTTGTCAACTTATACCTTACCATAAATATAGTAACCATATTAATTAAATACGTTATAGTAAGTTGCGATAGATACAGAAACAAAATACCATCTTGTAGAGTTAAAGAGACCAGGAAAATTAAATTGGAAATTGTGTTAGTTCTCAAAATATAAATAAACTTATCTGCTTGATTCTGAGAGCATCATTTTGAACTAGGTATTTCCATATTACAGATCTGAAATTTCTATAGGGGTAATAAACGGATTACTCCCTGAATATTGATAATCTTGATACTTTCTAAGCCACATTTCAATAGTAAATTATGGAAGCATGTTTAATTGAGGGGCACTTGTAGTATAAAGTGATTTTATTCCTTGAAATAGATATCCTTGCCCAAAGAGTCTATAAGGTTCATAACTTTCTATCTCATTAGGATCTCCCTTCATTAAATGACGTTGATAAACACTTAAGTCTTTAACGTACTAATTATCTCCAGGATCTTCATCAAAGTCCCACCGAGCAATATAGTATAAGCTATCTTATGGATTGTCTAAAGTGCATGTTAACTAAACACTATAGGAGATTGGCATAGGATAGTTAACAACACAATAGTTGCAAGGAATAGCTCCAATACAAATGGGTGTAGCAACTCCATTTTGCCTAAAGAAAAATTTATCAAATACTGAATCTGATGAACTCTATACATTTGCCATACTCTTCCAAATATAGAGCCTTGATATTGTGAACATGCCACCGTGCTCGTATCTTCTATCCTAATAATTACAACTTGCCCCTAAGTAAATGTCTTGCTTATAAGGATTTTGATCATTCCATATCATATTTGAAATCATTTCACTCTTTCCAATCTACTCATTTAAATTTCTTAATCTAATCATTATTTTAGCTGTATTACTCTATGAAGAATCAAATGACACAGATAATAGTTACCACCCTTCCATCTTTTACTAAGGTTAGAGTATAGTTCGATAAAAGTATTGGGTATTTGAATCATAAAATATAGAAGTCATATACTCAAACCATATCTCATCTCTATTATCCATTGAATATACTATGATTGAAATCTAATGAGATTGATAAGTATCATATCTTTTCTGTGAGTATATTCTCTAAAATCTGTTTTCGTTATTTATTCTTAAATCAAATGCTTTAAACCAAATTGCTATCATGAACCTAAACATTTATAACTTAATAAATGGTTTCTAGTCATTACTTTTGAGAAAACTGCAGATTATTTGCATTCTCAATTCTTATTGAATCTGTATATCTCGCGAATTAGAGTCCTTCCGGTCCCTACTAAGGTTATGTAGACCCTCTTCCATACATTGATGGGCAGAAAGTCCTGTCCGCTGAAAAAAGGAAGTTATAAGTAATTGATATTTACGTAAAAATCCAAAAGAAACTCGATCATCTTTTGAAACTTAATCAAAGACATAGTCAACTCCATTTACTGTAGTGATTTTACTGAAATCATAAAAGTGATCTGGAGCTGTTGTCTACCCTTCGATAAAATTAAAAAAGCTGATGATTGCTATAGTAATTTAAAGGATTCTCAGTGCTAGAAATAGTTAACTATTCGAATTAGTATTACTATTCAAATTATTTATCATAGTTATATATACATACATATCGAAACATTATCTTATTATATTTCTTCTTATTATTTATTACATATATCTTTAATTTCACTCTCATGGGGTTTTGGGGTTTTGGGGTTTTGGGGTTATGAATCCAA